AAGCGCCAAGCTATTATTAATAATTAGAGATTAAGATTTTTTTTGTTTATATTAATTTATTGATTTACCTATAAAAATTGTTAAAAAAAAACGATAACCTTCTTCTCATGTACAGAAAGGTTCATAGCATTTAAGAGTTAATCTTCTTGTTTTTGTTTTAACAGCATACAAAAAAACAACCGCAAAGATCGTTTGAGGACGACTGCTGACGTGTGTGACAGTCCTTTCCAGATATAAATTTGAGTCGTTGCGCCTACGTAGACCCAACTGTCGTGGGAACTTAAGTTCCGTTTCGCACGTTTAAGTTGCCGGGTTCGCCAGCGCGAAATGGTCTATGTACAGACATGCACGTAGTGTGTGTAACGTCACTAGGTCTTAAGCTCAAGCATCCTGCTGATATGCTTAAATTTTGTATGCTTTCATTGCTGAACTCATTTAATGGGACTTTTCGTGCAACACTTGAGAAGCAATGTCAAACAAATTTTCTAAAATATTAAATATTATCTAGACGTACATACATACATGTGTATATAAGTAGACAATACAAATGTGGAAAACTACATACATACATATGTTTTCTTTAAAGAAAAAATATCTTGTTACTTAGCCACGAATGTAATATTTTTTTTTTTAGCTGCGTTGTTACAATAAGATTGTATCTTAAGCTAAAATAACTAGTTTCAAAAAATGAATTTGGAAAATTATATAAAACAAAATCAATTAATATTTACTTTTTAGTATTTTCAATTCAATGTGTTTTAATGTAACATACACCCTGACCTCGAGCCGACATTAAAAAGAATTGTCTCATTAAATTCCAAAAAGAAATATTGAAATTTTAATTTCTTTTTTGGTAAATAGTTTTTTTTTTAATTTTTTAAATCGCTGAAAATTATTATTTTTTTAGTGCTTTCACTTCCATTTATTAAAAATGATTTTTGTTTTAATTTGTATATTTCACCTTTTTTGTATTTTTTATGTAAGCACAAATTACACGATTGCTACATTCGTAACAAATTTGTATTTTTTTTTTTACCTATTGGCATAAAATAACAAATGGCCGCGACAATTTCTTGAGTAGTGACACGATTGGTACAAAACATTCTCTGTATACATGTATACATAAATCAGTTTTCAAAATTTCTTAGATAATTTATGAAAATTTTTTCGTCATCTTTTGGCCAAAGAACAAAAATTTGATTATGCTATGAGTTTCCACGCCAAATTTTTGGGCAATGCCCTCTCATCTGACGCGGTCTTTATATTAATTAAGCAAATTACATTCACAAGTGGATAGCTCGATTTAAAAAAAAAAATTAAATTATTGTGCACACAATGATTTCAATTTTATAAAAAGTTTTTTTTTTTGTATTCCAGCGAGAATTTTAAGCTAACCGGTTCCATAAACGTATCTTCTTTATAAATTTATGTTAATTATTCATTCCACGACACAAATTTCTTAGCTTTCCATTTCATTCAGTTTGAATTAAAGTTAAAAAAGCATTCACATTGAAATTTAATATTCCTCTAAATAAATTTAGTTTACTGATTTAACAAATTTAGAAATATATATTCAAATGTACATATAAATATCTACTTATGTATCATTTTCTAGCTCGTTAACTCGCTACTAATTTTCCTTTCTCAAAAAAGGCCACTATTTCTTCTTATTGGCTGATCCAAACACAAAAGTCAAAACACAGTTACATACATAAATATGTATGTATTTCCACAGATGCATGTAATTGGATTTTTTTTTTGTAGGTTAGGTTTGCGTATAACAAATTAAAATAAAAAAATGTATGTTTTCTTTTTTTGTCAACATTTTTTGCGCAAGTATTTTTTGTTATAATGCGTCAGATGCATACAAACATATGTACGCGATAATTCAATGAACTCTAGTGCCTAAATAATTTCATTTTTTTTTTTTAATTTTTTTGTTATTGCAAAAAAAAATAGTTAAAGATTATTAGGGAGCACACCCTTAATCTGAAGTGTGCCCAAAACCGCGAATTCTTGAAACTTTTACGCACATAATTGTCAAAATTTGTGTGTGCAATAGTTTTCGAGTTTTCCAATCTTTCGATTTCAAAGGAATCGCTAACTGTAAATAAATACATATGTACATACATATTCCTTAACACGTAACACGATGAAGTAATGTAGATACATAAATTGAATTGACTTAACTAATAGTAATAAAAGGCTTTGTCAATGCTTAAAAATTACGATGGCTAAAATAAAAAAAAAAAAACTTTAAAAAAATAAATTTAACTAAAAAAATGCCAAATGAGTCAACTCTACATAAAAATATTCCAAATGAGAAACAAATATATTAAAAAAAATATGCATTCAATACCAAAAATTTGCACCGCACTCCGAATGCATTCTAAAACTTAGCCTACTTTCAGGCGCAGCACTTACTAAGCACAATTTGATCGCAAATTTGCTTCAAAAATCGACGCTTTCATTTTACTGCATACCAGAAATTTATTATTTTGTATGCTACTACATACATATGTATATCCACGAATTCGATTTTTTTTTTTTTAGTTTTCGTTCGCATATGAATTAAAGTTTTATACTATTTGACTTTTTCAACAATTAATATTGCAATTTTTAACAAGAAAAACACATTTCTTTTATTCGAAATATTATAATAATATATTCGTTTATGCTGATTGGAAAAAAATCACTTTTATTTCGTTCAACAAAACTAATCATAATTTTGTTGATAGACGCACGCTGATAAATCTTCAAACGGCATTTTTGTCGAAAAAATAAAAAAAAAATACGTTAAGCATGAAAATCTATATATATTTTTTTTATTTACAATTTATTTTTACTTTTTTTTTACATCCTAACTCAATTTAGTCGTATGAAAAATGCGCTGCCAAGTGGAAGCAAAGCAAAAAAATATGTGAAAAAATTCGCTTATGTTAACAAAAACTTCTTTATTATGTCGTAAGTAGGTTAGTAAATAAAAATATATACATACATATATACATACATACGTACATTTACATATATATATATGGTATAGGATGCTCAAATGTACATAACCATGTTATAATTGAATTTATATGTATAAAAGTTTATACCTACATATTTATGTCCACAAGTACATATGTATGTACATATACATATGTATATGAAAATTATCATCAAAAATTATCAAACTTTTAAATACGAATGTTTATTGTATAATAAGTTATTTTTCTTTTTTACTTTTTATGAAAGCGAATTATTTATTTTATGTTAAAAAGCCCAATACAATGGATAATAATAGTAATAATAAGACAACAAATCAAAGAAATGCTGAAGCAAAGCAATGAGCAAGAAAAACACACAATAAATACATAGGCACGTTGTTGTTTGTACTAAATATTTGTATGCATGAAGAAAATAAAATATGTAACTTGAATCTTTGTATACTGTATAGCAACTTTATTAGTTTAAAAAAATATCTGAATGTATTGTGAACCGCATATGGCTATTCTCTAAGCCTGGCGCTTTTATTATAACAAAGAAAAATATTAAAAATTAGAACTAAAATTTTAACATGTGAAAGCAATAATTTATATGCAATAACAATAAATGAAAAGAACGGTGTTTTCTTCTTTATAGTAATAACAATTTAAAAACTTGACTTTTGATTCTGAATGCCTAAACTTGCGGTGGTTGTTAGCGGAAAAGTTCCACAAACTCTGTGTGATTGATGATAATAGGCATGTCCTACTCAACTTTTTGCAACGGATTACTGTGTACCGAGTCGAAACTTTTCAAATAGATATATGTAGTATTTCTATACCAGGTAAAGAATTTAGGTATCTTCCTCACCCGGCAACCAGAAGGCGAACGAACTTGTAAAAGGGAGCACATCTCTTCCGTTTTCGCAAACCTGGAAGGTTTTAGGCATACCGCTCGATGCCTGCAATCGCATTCTAAGGGACGTATCTCTAAATACAAGCAAGTGATAGATGGGCTAGTATCACCACTTGAAGTAATACAAAACTCATGTGGCCTAAATGGAACGGAAGCGGTCGAAAGGTATACCCATGCTGAAGAGAAGCCATAAACTTTTGCGGCAGCTGTTAAGCAAATACCACACACTCCGTAGAGAAGTTCATGGATTCAAACTTTTTGAGGGTTTGACTGACGTAGCCAAAGTAGGTACGAATTCCTCAATCAAGGGTTTAAATTATTCTCATTTTGCATTTTCATTGCAGAAAATGCATTCGCTCCTTTAAACCAGAAAAGTTCTGCTATCCAATCGAGTTAAATAGCCTGAACAACTGTATAAGGGTATTTCAAAACACTTAATTAGCGAATTTTTGTTTGTTCTGTAATTGCTTCGAGCCAATAAACTTCAATAGAAGAATCATGGGTGTGTTATCAAAAGCTATGTACGAAAGCACCTCCGGAACCAAGAAACTTGTTCCATAGTCTCTCTAATTTGCGAGGTTGCGCAAGTAAGTTTCTCACAGCAATTGTAGATAGCTCCTTCTGCGCTTGGTAGATCCACTGTGTTCTCGCGCGCACTTGCTTCCATTATCCATGCATGGCTGGTGAAATGAAGGTCATTTTCAACGCAGCGTCCTCATTCATTCGTACAGTTTGTCCAACTATGCCGGTGTGCTCATTGTATTTCTATGCGTTGGACTATGTCCGTCCCGTTAAAAGTTCGGAGTCAGCTTACCAAAACGATTACCTATTTCATTGATATCCGCTTTATGCGACTCGCAGACACTAAGAGCAAGATTCGTCATTGAGTTGGATGAGCCTCAGAAAAGATGATTGGTGTACTGTGGGCCTAAAGTGAGCACAAGCTCGATTTCGGTTCAACTTCTTCATTCCATCCCCTTCCGTACCCATTGCGTACGCAGACATCGTCATATATGCCGCATATATCTTGCGGTGAATAGTTCTTTCGCGAGATCGCAACTATTTTCATCATCATCCACGTTTCTTTGCTATATAAAAGAAAAACTAGACTAAAATTTTCATTTACCCGTAAGTTCACTAAGTGCTGTAAAACAGCCATTTATTATTGCAATGTTACGATACAAATTATATAGTTACTAGTTTATCATCTTGTGATTACTTAGGCTAAGATTGGTACAAAAATTATTTTTCATGTGGCTTTCACAAACTAACTCCGTTATTTTATGCAAATGTGACTAAATATAATAAGAAATTCTTGAAGTGAACTTTAATATTACTACCTGTAACAAAAAAAAAATACCATAAATAATTTCATTCCCAAGAGTACAAGTACATATTACAATATCTTAAAATTTACAACAAAAATTATCAACGTACAGCATTTTGCTTATAGATTTCTTTCTTTTTTGTGCGTGTGCACTCATTTGCTTAAATACATATTTAATACCGCATGCATACCTATTCATAAATTAATCCACCGGCACTGCGATTTTAATCGTAATACCAGTCGAGGAAGAGTAAGGCAAACGACATTACTAAAAGGAAAAACAATGACCATACACGTAGGCCAGCATTGCGTTGTATAGCTTGCTGGATTTGTTCATTGGCGTCTTTGACATTCTCTGTTGCGCCGACCACAGCGCTGGCAATGCGTTCGATGTTGTGTTGTTGAAGTGAGACCTTTGAAGAAAAAGTATGCGCCAATACATTAATATAAAATACGAAAAATGAATAATTATATGCACCTTTTCAGTAAAAATATCCTGCAACTGCGCTATGTCCACCACATTCTTCTCGATCTGTTCCACCTCTTCCACCAACCCTTGCAATTCGTGATATAGCTGCACATTCTCTTGCTCGTACATTTGCACATCTTCGGGTGAAACTTTCTTAGCCTCTTCAGCCTCATCCTCTAATTGCTGCGATTTTTGTATGTCCTCGTCTAGCGCCACCTTTTGCGATGATTGTGTCGTCTTTAGCTCGCCACCGCTACCAATGTTTTCTTCATCTTCAGCATGTGGATTTCGATGCCGTAATTGCGGTCCACTCACTTTTGTGCTTTTATCAACGTAACTATAACCATTCAACTTACCATCGGCTGCATTATTAATGACTTTTTTGTTGCCGCGGTCATTGTCACCGAAATCATCATCATCTAGCCAATCACCTTGCAAGTCTAAAGCTTCATCACTCAAGCTTTTTTGTGGTCGTAAATCATCAGGAATATCTTCATCGTCGGTGGTACTACTTGGAGAGTGCCGTATCACGCGTCGCCCACTGTGCTCACCAGCCGGACGCACTGGTATCTTCTTTTTATCAGCTGCCAATTTTAATAACTTATACGTTTCCAGCTCATACTGTACACGATAACGTTTTTGATCCAAATAGATTTGCTGCACACTGCGCAAATAGCGTTCTAATAAATCTAGTACTGCCTCCATATGTTGCTGCTGTTGTGGTTTTCTTTTTGCACGTTTCCAATCGGCACGCATTTGTGCCAAGTGTTGGGTGTAAAATGTAACAAACTTTTCCGACTCCCGGTCTATGAGGTCGCGTTGTTCGTCCGTCATGTGTGTCGCACTCTTCAGGTGTTGACCGATGCGCATGTACGCCGCCCTATTCTCCACCAGCACATTACGCAATGTGGTTATTTTGTGGCACACATCCTTTGCTTGGCGTGAGAATTCGTCACGTTGTCCGGCAGAAAGTCCAACGCCGCTTTTAGATAGAATTCGTTGTTTGTCCAATGGCTGCGGTGGGAGCTCACCTTTGCGTTGCAGTTTCACTGTCATTACACCGGCTTTGAATTTTTGCGTTATGTCCATTTTATTTGGTGGGTACGTCTTTTTGGAATTGGTTGCTACATTTATCAAAGGTCGAATTGGAATAGTAAGGCAGCCACTTTACTTAATGCAATAATTAATAGATTTCTTTGTAAATGCTAAATGCTAGGAAACCACGTCCGCTGTTGACACATCACTGGTTGATTTGCGTTTGACAGCTGCCGTCAGCTGTTTGGCGCAGTGCTGGTAAGCGAAGTACATGAATTGTGCTTAGTGAGCGAGTCTCTAACGAGTATCGAGGAAAATCCGCCAAAAATTGTTTACGTTCCGGAAGTTGAGTAAATTCAACTGAATTTTGCAGCTTGCAAATTTTTTTAATGGAACTTTTAAACAAATATGAAATTCCAACTACTCGAGTGTTTATATCAGAAGTGTTTTGTGTATTTATTTGAATATCTTAGTGAAATACATTTTGCTAAACAAGTGCACAGAGACTGGCAAGTTGTTTGAACCTTGGCGTAGAAAATTGTTTAAATAATTTGATTAGTTTGCCAGAAATCCGGTAGGCTAAGCAGCCTTTGCCGGTTATTTCGACTATATGGAAGATTTTTATGCTTGAGGTTAGTACAAAATATTTCAATGAAAATAACCTTTCACGTTAGGAAAGTGTGCAAATAATATGTACATATATATGTTTGCATTTCAGTGGCAATAGACGGCATGAAGTTTTTTTTGCATTCGTTAAAATATAACTTCTGAATATCTTGGAAAGTCAATATCTGCGTTCATAAACAATTGTTGCTAAAATCGATAATCATAGTTTCGAGAAAATCTCAATTAGTTAAGTCATTGCATCCTAGATATGTGTTTGAACATCATTAAGTTAATTTTTAAAAATTTTATGCATACTCCAGGGAAATATTGATTTATATAAAAGCTCTTAAAAGTGCACATTATTTTTTGAAAGTGCTCTAAGTCATATCATACCCTTGTGCTTAAATAATCTGTTAACCGCTGCTTAATGCATTTGCTCTCGCTTATCACAGATGTTCTTTGAATTCATTCACTAAGATGCTTAGGCCCAGTTTGTTACGTAAACTGCGTTTATATTGAGCAGCTGACTGGCATTTAATTGGCTAATCTTAGTTTTAACTAGCCAGCTCTAGCGTTTAAACTAAGTTTATAACACAGCCGTGCAGTGAAAAGCTGACCCTTTATGTGACGTTCGGCGCATACCAATGCGATAAGCAATTATATTTAACATTAAGAGCTCCACCGCCAGCACACCCAAGAGGGCACCTAAGTTATCTTGAATACGGAACCAAACAGCACCTCGAAAACACATTGAGCTTTGATTTACAGCTGGAAGGTATCAAATACTTGCACCGCTATTCTTACTCAACCGCCAACAGCGCTAGGCGTATTAAGAGGACACTATTTTGGGGGAGGCCGTTTGACAATAAGTTTTTGCATTGCTCCCTCTTGTTGTATATTTCCATCCATTTTAAAGCTTAGATATTTAATTTAAATTCTTAAAATTTTTGCTACGAAAAAAGTCAAACGGCCCCATGGTGCGTTGATGTTCTATGTGAGTAAAATCTTGTGCGGATGACGGATTTAGCTCTCTCACCTCCCTCCAACTTTTGGGTGCATACGCCTGATTTTATAAATATGCTCATCAGATGGCGTAGCACGCTTTCACAAGAGTGTTGTAAGATGGCCGACAGCCGGAAAACTTTATTGAATATTCTATGACAACAGATACATACATACATACATACATATTAATCAAAAGTCATATATTTATTGACTAGTGTAAAATTTTTATTAAATTTATGGGTAAAATATTTTAATTTAACAATATTTGGATTATTATTTTGAAAAAAAAAGGAAACAATTTTAATGAACTTTAGTTATTTATGTACATACATAAATATATACATATGTACGAGGACTTTAATGCTTGTAGTATTTTTATATAAAACTTGCTAAGCCCCAATTTAAAAATTGTACAGGAGAGGAAAAAAACTTCTTATAGCCATTTTTTCAAGCATTTCGCAAAATTTTCAATACAAATCTATACGATTTCGATCTTTATTAATATTTTATATGGGGAAAATACAGTTTTACGTAGAATTGCTATAAAATCGTTGTGAATGAACTTTTTTGATCAAATAAAAATATGATTATTTTCATTTTTTTTTTTATATATCTGCGATGGCAGCTGGAAACTTTCAAAACTCCGATTTTGCTGGACATTTTTGGACCACCGTAATGTACATATCGACACAGCTCAAAATTAAAAAAAAAAACTAAAAAAAAATGTTAAACGGCTTAAGCCTCTAATCCTTGTCTAAACCCTATCTACTGTTACTAAAATAAGTAGTAACGATTAGGAAATTAAGTGGCAAGGATTAGACATGGATTGGTTGAGGATTAAAGACATTAGAGGGTAAAGAGTTATAAAGGTTTCACTTTTGTTGAGTTTTGTGTTGCGTCGTTATGGCAGAGGCCATCGATATGTACATACATACACAAGTATTATTGCAAAAATTTATTCTTATTTGTATTATTTATAAAAGTTTCATTCTTCAAATTCCAGCAAACTTAATACGCTGGTGGACTGAACCCTCATATACATGTACTGTTTAATACATACTAAAATTTTATTTTTTTTATAAAAATAAATACGTTTGTGTATACAATTGCATGCACTTAAAATACTAAAAGTAAAAATAATTCATTTATATTTTCAAATAAAATATTTTACATTAGATATTTTTTTAAAAAGAATACAATAATAAAACAAAATGTGAAAGAACTCAAAGTTCTCTCTACCCGCCCTGCTGTATTTACGTACTTCCTAGACTTGTCTGAGCGCAACAACAACTTCAAAAACTTACTACACTCCTCACCCAGCACGCACTTGCGTCGTCGTTGCTTGAAAAAAGTAGTCGACTTTTAGGCGCATAAAACGCAACACGTGAAACAAATGCATTGCCAGCAGTGAATCGAATGTTTTGTAGTGGGCGCATTTTTTTTTAGTTGTTTTCTTTTTTCTTTTTTGCTCCTATTGCAATTACTGCTTCAACACTCTAGCGTTTCCATTTGCAACTCCTCACCAACGCTTACAGCAAAATACACTGCTTCGCCTTAGTACTTGGTTTCTTCTCAACCGCCCTCACGGCCTCCTCGAACACCTGATTCAAACCGATCTTCTTCTTAGCCGAACACTCCACCAAAGAATGCGCATGGATTTCCTTACGCAGGCGACGTCCCTCGCTGGTTGTCACAAATTTTTCCGAATTGGGTACCCGCAAATCCAACTTTGTGCCGATCAGCACAACCGGCACATTATTGGAGAAATGCCGTATCTCGGGCCACCATTTGCTCTTGATATTCTCAAATGATGTTCGACTGCTTATCGAATAGCAAAGCAGGAAGCAATTCGTCTGTGCGGGTAAAGATAAAAAAGGGAAACACAATCAATGAAATGCATGTTTTAAAGGAATTTATACAACTTCAATGGAATGCTGATGTTTTATGTTTTTTTTTTTTTTTTAATTTTTTTGCTTACATTCGGATAACTCAGCGGACGCAGACGCTCGTAATCCTCTTGCCCAGCTGTATCCCAGAGTGTCAGATTGTATTCATTGCCATCGACCGTAATGTTGCAGGCATGATTATCGAACACCGTGGGTATGTATTCTTCGGGGAATTCGTTTTGTGTGTATGTAATGAGTAGGCAAGTCTTGCCCACCATACCATCGCCGACGATTGTGATCTTAAGGGGACGTAAACTTCGCGCCATGTTGTTGTTGTTGTATATGTTTCTGCTGCAGTTGGCACTAATATTTCCTCTATGTAGGTCTGTATTTTCCTAGTTTGTTGCTTTTGCTGTTGTAATTTTGTCGGAAAATGTATTGCACCGGTTTGCGCTGCAAATTAAAAAACAGAAAAGAATATTCATGAAAAATGTGTGCATTTCACTTGTTGGAAAGATATTTATGTATGTATGTGCATGTTGCGTGATTGGGTGCATAGCTGCAAGTGCGTAAATAGCTTAGGAATGAGTTTCCCAGCGAACATTATATTGTAAACAAAGTAATTACTTAAATAATAGCCAATTTTTTCTCCGATGCTCCACCCTGGATGCATTTTTTTTTTTAAGTAAAACCACTTCGGTGGGCCATTATAGAGAACTAAAAAAGTCCGTCCAAATTTCCGTCATCCCTCGTCAAGTTTGGTTTGGAGCCAAACCGATTTCGGCATTGTGCCAACTTCAATGTCAAAACAAAACAACAAAACGCCGAAACCGGTTTGTCTCCAAACCAAATTTGAGAGGGGATAACGGAAATTCGTTCCAAAATAAAGTTAATTTTAAAAATTTTTTAAATTGAACTAAAGAGGAAACCCTAATTGTTTTCTGGGTATTCAAACAATTCCCCAAATACTTATTGCAGGGCTCGCTCGCATTGCACTTATTCTTAGGCATGCTCATGTTCTCAGTGTTTTGTGGTCGATGTTTTTTTTAATTTATTTTTTTTTTTTTTAGTTTTATCGATGTTCAATTGCTGCTACTGCTGCTAACGTTGGCACACACAACACTCCCGGCCAAGCTATATGGCTGCACATGCGTATCATTCCGGTAGCTGCTGCTAGTGCTGGCGTTGCTTCCTCCACAACAGCTGCGCCAAATCAAAGGAGGGTGCAGTGGAATGTCTGCCAACAACGCCGGCGTATTTACATACATACATACATACATACATACGCACACATGCATAGACACCAATTGGAGCAGCAACTCCAAAATACGAGTAGGTACACCGGCAATGCGTTGCCATCGACACCGGAAATGTTACGCTAAATTGTAAACAAAATTATCGTGCGAGTAATTTGGATGAAAGGAAGGCAGCACTGTGTGCTAAAGAGAAGAGGAAAGAATAAAGTTTTGCGAAATCGAATTTTGCTTTGTAGATATTTATACACAAAAAAAGTGTCACCGTTGAGTGACCTCCTTCTATAAGCAAACTTTTTCCAATTTCAAAATCGAATGATAACACCGTTCGCAAAAACAAAAAAAAATTGGAAACACACGAATTAATCAATATATGTACTCATGAAACTATGGGTAAATTATAGTAAAACTGCGTACTTAGTTTTTCTCTCTGACGACAGGATTTTTTTTAAAGGACTTTGTAGTTTCAAAGATATGATTAGTTCCAAAAATTATTTCAAAAATTTAGTAAGGTATGAGTACCAAATGAAAGACAAAATTCTGTAGAATAAAAAAGCAAGGACGAATAGGTATTGAAAATGCCTTTTTAATTAATTTTCATTTTTTTTTTTAAGCTAATAAAGTTAGAAGTCTGAATTTCGAAGATGTGGTCGAGTGTATACTAAGTCCTTAACGTATAATTTATAATAATAATTTATATAATAACGTATAAGGATATTGAAGGATACAATTTTAAAAGGACATTTTCCATACCTAATCGTCCTCTTGCACCAAAAAATTCAACTGGCTTTAATTCTACAGAATTTTTTCTTTAATTTGATACCCATACCACTATTCAACATTGCACTGATTTTTTTTTTTTTAATTTTTTGAAGAAGTCATACTTTTCAAATTTCAAAGTCCTTTAAAAAAATCCTGACGTCATAGAGAAAAACTAGAAACGCAGTGGCACTGGCACAAAAATGTTACAAAAAAGCTCCCTTGCCAACTTTCATAGTGAAAAGCTGTTTTGATAGAAAGCATTTGTATATCATTTTGCTCGCGTTGCTCCCAGAGTCGCAATAGCCAAGGGATGAAAGCACTTACATCGGTCATGGCACTGCCTTGCCCGCTCTTATAAGCTTTCTTCACGTTTTGTATAGCCGCGCGTAGAGTAAAAGCTCTCTCTGCCCATCGCTGGCTTACATACATGCCATTCGAGAGATCCGAAGTTCAGCCTCGGGAAAATTTTTATACCCGAGCGCACTTGTGCACAAGGGTATATTAATTTTGTTCACATAACGGTTGTTTGTAACAGCCAAAACGAATCGAGATAGATATAGACAAATGTATACATAAATGATCAGGATAAAAAAAGAAATCGATTAAGCCATGTCTGTCTGTCCGTCCGTCTGTCCGTCTGTCCGTCTGTCCGTCTGTCCGTGTACACGATAACTCGAGCAAAAATTGAGATATCTCAACGAAATTTGGTATGTAGGTTTCCCTTAATCCAAGGTAGGTTGCTATTGAAAATGGGCGAAATCGGACTGTAACCACGCCCACTTCCCATATAACGGTAATTTCCAGAAATACGAAAACTGCGATATTTTAGTAACTACTGAAGATAAATCACTCAAAATTGGTATTTACAATAATTTTTTGACAAAAAATAATAATATTATACATTTTTGGAAAATGGGCGTAGCCACGCCCACTTATGGTTACATGTGTATATCTTGGTAACCGCTGTACCAATTTCTACCAAACTTGGCACAGTTGTCGGCCTTCGTACAGCATACAAAATCGCCTAAAATTTTTAAAATCGGACGATAACCACGCCCACATCCCATATAACGGTAATTTAGAGAAATACAAAATCTTCGATAAATCAGTAAATATTGAAGCTAATTTATTCAAAATTGATGCTTGCAACAATTCTTTACCAAGAAATACGTTTGTGATAAATTTTTGGAAAATGGGCGTGGCACCGCCCACTTATGATCACATATATGTATCTCAGTAACCGTTCTACCAATTTGTACCAAACTCGGTGTGGTTATTGTGCTTGCCACATATAAGCAAACCGTTGAAAATTATTGAAATCGGACTAAAATAACGGCCGCTTCTCATATAACGGTAAATTTCAGAACTGCTTGAAACTTCAAAATTTCGAAATCTAAGGACTCTAATTTACTCAAAATTGATACGCCCCGGCTTACCATATAGCCGTAGCTTTCGGTAAGGCGAAAAACATATATTTAATACGTGCGCCGGGTATTTAATGTTCGGCTCTGCCCGAACTTAGGCTTTCTTACTTGTTTTAAGTTGAATTTAATTTTTAGAAACTTAAAACTCATTTCACGAAAGCAATTTAAGTGAAAAATGATTTTAATTTTTTTGAAATTTTTCTTCTTTTTTTTGATATTTTTTTCTAATTTAATTTTGCTATAATTTTTAGATTTTATTGTTTTAAAAGGAAAAATATTTTTTTTCATTTAATTTAAAGAACATATTTTATTTTATTATTTATAACCGACTTCAAAGAAGGAGAAGGTTATCAATTCGTCGGAATATTTTTTATGTATGTTACCGCGTAACTTTTAACCACATTAACCGATTTCCATAATTCTTGTTTTTTTTTAAAGAAAGTTGGTACCTCCCGATCATTGGGTCGTGTAGAAATTAACGGTAGTCTTAAATTTTTATGTGAGCATTGAGGTCGGTTTGGTTTTTTGCTTTAAAATTATTTGTTTTAATTTAATTTTCTTGTTATTTAAAGACTTGATTAATTAAAAGGGAAATATATTTTTGTTTTAATTTCATTCAATTTGTAGAAGCTCATTTTATTATTTTTTCTCTTCTCAACTTTTTTTTTATTAATTAGATTTTCTTATAATTTCTGGATTTTATTATTTTAAAAGAAAAGATATTCTTTTTTAATTTAATTTTTGAATTTTTTCTTTTAGTTTAATTTTTTCTCTTTTGTTATTTTATTTCTATATTTTACTGTTTTAAAAACATGTTTGATTTTAAATTCCTTTCATTTTTAAACCTTATTTATTTTTTCTTTTTAAATTTTTTTTTAATTTTATTTTAAAATACATATTATATCATTTTAAATATATATATTTTTTTAAGTTATATTTTGTAGGAATTTGTTTTATTTATTTTTTAATTACGTTTTATTTTTAGATTAAGTATAGAGGGTTTATATTCAATACAACCTTTCTGCAATTTTCAGAAAAATTTTATTTTGATATAAAAATCCATCTAAAACTTAACTGTCATCGGTGATGTTAATGCTGATCAGTATATCTGCTTGTTAGAAGAGTTGGTTATTGAATTGCAAAGTAAAAATTAACAACAGTGATTAACAGTCGGTTAAGTCCGAGATGGTAGTTTTTGTGAAATTGTAGATAGGTTGTATTGAATTATTTGAAAAAGAAAAATATATTTTTCAATTGCATATAATTTTTAGAAACTTATTTTTGCTTTTTTTAAATTTATCTCTTTTTTAATTTAATTTGCTGTTAATTTATAGCTTTTATTGCATTAAAAAGAAAAAATTTATATATCTAATTTTTTAGAAAATCTACTGCTAAAAGACAAATATTGCAGTAAAAATGCCAAAAAATCAATGCCGAGTCCTAGCTACTTCCAACTTACACTTTATTATACTGTAAATTGATATAAACTGAATGGGCTACCAAACAAAAATTTTCCCAGAAATTTAATTAAAAAGATTGAAATTTTTGCGAAAGTTTGTTGAGTTTTTTTGTTTTTTAATATTGCACTTGGATTTATACTCCTTTTAATATTAAAAAAAAAAATAGCTTCATATTGAATTTCATCAAAAAATGATAACTGAAAATTCTTGTGGCTTGCAGCAATGGTTAAAAAACTTTGTGAAATTCTTCATAAGTTGATTACGAAATCAAAAGTCGAATGTGCAATAATGGCACTCAACCAACCAACATCAGCTGCGTTAGCAACTACAGAAATTTAAAGAATTTATTTTTTCAAGATAAATTCGCTCTTTCGCAAATAAAATTTTGTTGGTTTATTTGTTGTCACTTTATTCGTTGCTTTTATCGGTCTTTCACAATACAGTTGCATACACATCCGTGTATACATGTACATATACATATGTGCTTATGTATATCTGTGTACATAATCAATTTTCATAACTTTTCAGTAGGTAACGGTGTTAATATGCGATTA